CCTCATTCCACTCTTGTTGATAGTGCGCAACATTGCGATTCCACAAAAAATGCGAAGCGTCAAGGCATCCAAGAAGGCAATTGGTACTACACAAGTATATTGCTCTCATGAATGGAAAAAATGCAGCTGGAAGGGCTGCTCAAAGCGAACTAAAGATCGCCACTACCAGGCAACTTGGGCAGGCGCTTGTAAATCATGTTGGTGTGCAGAGTCATGTCAGTCTTCTTCTCGGTAGCCATAAACACCTTTTGTGTCAAGGTATCGTTGTCGAGTAGGGCGATTTCCCTGCGCACCTAGAAAGAGAAGAGGACATTGCCGCATGACAAATACGTTGTCAGTAGAAGTAGTTGGAAATGCGTGCGGATCGGTTGCCCGCTTTTCGACAATGCTCCTATTCCACGGTGAAGCGATGCTTCAACGTGCCACACTGTTCCTGCAATGTCACAAGCGTGGCATCGAATATGGAGGGCATTTGGCTTGCACATCATAGCTTTGCCAATGTCCGAATCTACCTTCTCGCAACACATTGTATCACATAGTATTACAAAGCCAAAATCGTGGCACTAAAGCTGACTGACGCCTTCAAGGCTGATGATTGCCAAGGAGGCAGTGGGCACCCATCGTCCACACAACTCCAACGGATCGTCTGCATGAGCAGCTCCATCGTCTTGCTGTTACCGTGCAAGTGGCCCAACCTAGCCGACACCACAACATCAACTACATTAAGTGCTACAAATTCAATCACCGGTTTCGCCTCCACAGTCTTACTCGAAGCATTTTCGGCTTCTTCGGAAGCGGATGGCCTTCTGTGAGCTCTGTTTCCAGCACGATGTGTATCCTTCCGTGCTCATTCCTCGCCGGTCCCTTCAGTATGTGCACGTGACCTGAGGAAGGGGATAGGAGTGAGTGTTGGAGACGTCTCGTTTCGACTGCACTATAGGTGGATGGAGGAGGCTACCTGTGTTGTCGCTGGTCATGAGCTCCATCTGACCTGTTTCTTGGTTGAAGAACATGAAGCCCATGTCACGGTGTCGGAATGCGCCTCCGGAGTAGGCTCGTGAACTGTGCACGTAAGGCAAATGGAAGTGAATCACTTGCACTCAGCGTGTTGAAGGATGAGGCACAAAAGTCCGTAAAGCCAATCAGCATCAAGAGTGCCAACACGTGCCCAGTAAGCACAACACTGCTGGTGCACGCGCCCTCACCACTGCCATTCTGTCAAGACCTTGCTAATCGAGGTACAATGTGAGGTGTGTGCTAAATTTGTCGAGTGCGTCACCGTTGTCGCCAACCGCATTCACGCTCGCTTCCATGGCATTAATGCACGAAAGTGTGCAGTAATGCGGTGTGGTCGCACCCTTGAGGGGATACGAATTAGCGCCTCCACCGACACTGCCACATTTGACATCAGAGCGCATTGAAGGTGTGCTACAACCACGAGTTGGACAGGAAGTGGAGACAACAAATGGCTTACCTGTACCAGAATGACGGTTGTCCCACGTGGCCAATCGAGATGTTCTCGGAGCAGGGGTAGGTGGTTTGAGTGTAGAGGCTCATTGAGCCCTCTCCCTCCCATTCGCCGATCAGCTTGGCAAACGGTTGCAGGGAGCTGTGGATGGCGCAGGCCGCTGTCATACAGGAATTTCTTTAGTCAACTGTGATCATGCAGTACCGTAAATCCGTGGTTTAGTCTATAACAACTTACTGAGTCTGCTCGATGGCATGGTCGACGCTTGCGTCATTGTGGCAGCTTGAAAAGCTGCATTGTCACACTAAGACGAAAGTGGCTTATGTAGCCAGTGACACTGCACTTATAGTGTGCATTTGACGTTCCTGTAATGGCTTCCATGGTAGCAAGGAGTGCGGTGTGGAACCACAACAATTTGTGCGACATCGACATTTCCGTTTGACTGTCGTTTGGAAAGCCACCTTCCGTAAGTGGATGCCACACGAAGAATAGATTATGTTCACAAGACAATGGACATGCAGTCT